AGCGGAAATTGTTTCTTTTTTTTTTTTTTCTTTTTTTTTTCCCTTTCAAGATTGTTTTTTTTTTGTTGTTAGGTTGTTTGGAGTGTTATGTTGGTTGTTCCCAAAATTGATGATTCAGGACATACTCTCTCCTCTCACTAGGACTTTTTTCTACCTAGCTCTGGACGTGATTGCAGTCAGATACTTCCAGACGGGCCCGTAATTGCAGTCAGATACATTCAAGAAAGTACTAGGTAGTGTGATTATGCCCTCTACGCTTGCTGCCTTGCCGTTTCTTTGTCCGTCCCTAGACAGCCGGAGAGTGTGACACGTATATTCCGTGTATTGTCATCTCCGGACTTCTTCTCTGAGCCTTTCCAAATGGCGCGTTCTCCAACCCCTCACATCTCACCTCTCCCATGTTGACCCCTTCGGACACGCGTACTAATTAAGTAATAACATCTGACAGCTTCGCTATCCCATCTCCTCAGTCTGTGTGTGGGCCTCATTCCACGAGACCCCCTCGACTTGAGAAAAATCTAATCTCAAGGGCAGCCCTACCTTCTTCCCCCGAATACAACGTACGGTCATTATAGCTGTATTTGGGGTATCTTTCAGTCTAAATACAGCTATAATGACCGTGCGTTGTATTCGGGGGAAGACTGTAGACGCGCCGTGACGCGCCGTTGAACCTGAACGTAATTAAAAAAAAATACTAGACTTCGTTCTCGTTCCACTACACCCAACAGTCCGCTTTGAAAAACAAACCAGCGGGAATATCTGCTGCTCCTGCCACTTCACTGCTACTTCACGTGGTGAACGACGCAGGTCCGTTATTGGCCTAGACAACTGCAGTTGGGGGGGGGGGGGGGGGAACAAAAACAAAAAACAAAAAACAAAAAACAAAAAACAAAAAACAAAAAACAAAAAACAAAAAACACCTCAGGGCCTTGAACACTGAATATTTCTCCTCATCCCGATCTTCTGGTACCATCACCGTTCTCGATTCCTTTTTTTTTTTTTTTTTTTTTTTTTTTTTTTTTTTTTTTTTTCCGTTCTCGATTTCCAAACCTTGCCAGCCAGTCCCCTATCTCCGACCGAATCTCCGTGGACCGCTCCCTCTTTCCAGGCGAATTGGAACCGTTTTTTTTTTTTTTTTTTTTTTTTTTTAACTCACAACCTGTATTACCACCAAACTCAAGTTGAGGTGTGGAACCCCGGTTTGAACCTCCTTTTCCAGGTGTGGAACCGGTTTTTTCTTTATTACCGAACTCAAGCTGAGGTGTGGAACCGCGGTTTGAACCTCTGTCACCTTCCTCCCCCCCCTTTTTCCCTTTCTCGGTGGATGGTTTGAGCTGTGGTCTTCGGATAGGACGGGAAGTCCCTTGGAGCGTGGTGGGAGCTGTGCGCATCCCACCGACGAAACATGTTAGGGAACGTGTGAGTGAGGAGGGAAAGATATGGTGGTTGAGGGCATATTCACACTTGGTAGGACTTTTTTCTAGCGAGCTCTTCTGGCTGGAGCGGGGAAATTCGTCCAGCTTCGGCTGTGATTGGGGTCAGATACATTTGGGAAAGCGGAGGAAAATGCGAGTGTTTGGGCACACTCAGACTAGGACTTTCTTGGATGTATATGACCGCTTTTCTCACAGGGCCTGGATTCACCTGAATGCAATTACGTCCACAGCGAAATGGAAAAAATTCTAGTGTGAGTATGTCCTGAGTACGCACTCAGTCTGTGCAGATGTTAAAATCCCAGTGTGAGTATGTCCTGAGAAGGAAGGCACTCAGTCTGTGCAGATGTTGTAGCGTCCGGCTGTAATTGCCGAGAGAATCCGTCAGATACATTTAGAAAAATGCTAGTGCGAGTACACCATTACACTACCGTGTTCCCCCGAACATAACACACCTTAAAAATGAATGTATACAAGCTATATTTCCGGCCCGCTACAGGCAAAATAAGGGGGTCTCGGGTACTCGCCTTAGCCACTTTGGCAATCCAGCCCCTTAGCTGTGCCTGATTCTTGCGGGCAGGATCCACCAACCCCAGTCCCCCTTCCTCCCTCGGAAGGTTAGGGTGTCAAAGGCCACTTTGGAGATGAAACCTTCAACCGACTGGGCCCGTGGTTTCCATATAAATTTTGCCACCAGCCTCTTAATCGCTTTTACCACGCCAGCCGCCAGTTCTCTCACCGTGGTCACCAACCACAAAATCGAGGATAAAGCTACATTGGTAACCAGTACCCTCCCTATCAATGATAAGTGCCACATTGTTTCCCACAATCTGAGCCTCGCCGAAATGCGCTGTTGCAGCAACGAGCCATGTATCGACATCTGCATTTGGAGGCTGATTAGCACTCAAAGAAATCTCTCCTCCTCGCCGACGCCTACCCGTTTCATCCCGCATTCCACGTTCAGCGCGAACTGGGTAGGCAGCAGATAGGTGGATTTCCTCCAATTTACCGAGGCTTCCGAAAGCGTGGAGTACTCCGCCATGACTTTTTTCAACGCCGATAGGGAAGCCGTTGTGTTTTCTCTAACTGCAAAAAGGTCATCCGCCAGCGCTTTCACCCTACATTCCTCCCCGTTGTGCAGTTGCAGACCTTGCGCAAAACTTCAAGCTGCAACACGAAGACTAGCGGCGCCGGTGGGCACCCCTGTCTCAGTGAGTGAGAGATCTGAAATGGGGTTGAGAGGTGCCCGTTGATCATGACTGCAGAGGAAGACTCATGACTGCAGAGGAAGACTCAGAGAAAGTATACATAGCCTTGATCCGTGAGCAGAAGCCTGGACTGAAGCCGATACATAGCCTTGATCCATGAGGAGAAGCCTGGACCGAAGCCCATCGGCTTGAGGGTGGTAAGGACAAATGTCCAACCAACCTTATCGTAAGCTTTATCCAGGTCCAACGAAAGGACAGCCATATCGAGCTCTTCTGTCTGAACAATCTCAAGCGTTTCGATGGTGGTCACAATATTGTTGAAAATGGATCTCCTCTGTACAAATGCCCCTTGGTCCTGCTCCACCAACCCCGGGAGGTGTCTGGATAGTCTGCGTGCTAGGGACTTCACGAGGATCTTGTATGCTACGTTCAGGAGGGAGATCGGACGCCAGAAACTGACGTCCGATTTGTTTCCCTTCTTGAAAAGGACCGTGATCACCCCGTGCGTCATCCTTTTCCCCAGCTTGCCTCCAACTAACACCTCATTGTACAACTCCACCAACAAGGGACCTAAAACCTTCCAGTTTGCCGAATAAAATTCTACTGTTAAATCGTCCACCCCAGGCGATTTTCCTCTTGCCATCACTTTCACTGTTTGAGAAAGTTCTCCTAGGGTAATCGGTCTATCTAGGTCCAGCTGTGTGGCTGTGCACAGTTGCACTGTGGTGTCTGTCCACATGTCTGACTGCAGGGACAGGTCTGTGTTCACATCCTCGTTCTGTCGCCTGGTCGTGAGTACGTCAGCGTAGTAAAGACTGGCGTACTTTAGCATGCCGGCAGCTGAACAGGCTGTGGGGGCTGATTCGTCGAACGGACGCCGCAGTTCAATCATTTGCTGTTGCGCTCGTCTTGGTTGCAGTTTCTGAAAAGTCGTCTTACTCATTTTGTCATTCGTTCCTACGCCTTTCTCCTTCATAATCTTCACCCACCTTCGCTGCTTCTCCTCCTGCAGATTATCCCATTCAGCCAACTTCCTTTTTCGCTCAGTTGCCCACACCATCTCTGAGATAGGATGCCTCTCCATTTTTTTCTCTGCCTCCTCGATCCCCCAAAGGCACTCCGCTGCCTCCTTGTTCCTTGCCCTTGCTAAAATCCGTGAGCAGGCATCTAGGACCCCAGAGATGATTGCCAACCCCCCATCCATCCAAAGGGCGATCGATTCGAAATACTGTCTTACGTCCTTCCAGCTCTCCATGTGCCTTTTCACCCAGTCCTTTATGCCTGGCTCCGCGAGCACTTGACTGTTCAGACGGAAGAAACCTTTTCCCCGTTCAATTCTGAGCCTCAGGCGCATGTCTGCCACCACAGGTTTGTGGTCCGACAGCGGGTGGCAAATTTGCTTGACCATGACCACTCTCTCCACCACCGGTGCGCTGAGCAGATAGTGGTCCAGGTGCCTCCTTGTACTGACCTGTCTTTCTTTGTGGAGGTTCGAAAACCAGGAGTACCCTGGATCATTCGGATTGAGCATTGGGAACGGATCGGATAGTGACAATTCCCCACAGAACCCCAACAGCGCCCGTACATCTCTACGATCTGCTGAGGGTGAATTCGGACGCAGTGCCTCATCCAGCGAAATGTTCCAGTCGCCGGCTAACAACAGATTGTCGGTTACCGGTACATGGGACATTAGCCTCTCAAAGAACCTAGCCCTCTCGCTTACTGCCGTCAAGGCGTACACTGTCATGATTACCCAGTCTTCCCCTGCCATCCCCACTTTCAACCACGCCCATCTCCCCCACAGGTCCGCTTCTGCGTCAATAATCTGTGCTTGCAGATCCCTGTGCAATAGGATACCCACTTCTCCCTGAGTCCCCTGAGCTGGAGCCCACACCTGTGGGCCGTCCCACCACGTCTCAAATTCCTTCAATTTGTCTTCATTTAGCTTAGTTTCCTGCAGCAACACGCAATTCACTTTCCATTCATGCAGCCATGTCTTGAGCCTTCTCCGTTTCTGTCTCCCGTTGCTGTCACCGAGGCCCCGCACATTCCATGTTGCCGCTCTAAGTCTGTCCATTCTCTACCACTTGCCCCGTCTGGTCTTGGATACAGGAAACAGATTGTTGTGACCCCTCTGTGTGGCGTGGCCCGTTGGCCGGATGTTGCTCCCGTATCTATAAGTCCCTTTCTTCCAGAGGTCGTTGGCTGCTGACAGAGATGCCAGTAAGGTCAACGGCAGCGGTGGGAGTGCGGAAGGAGAGATGACGGGGCGAGGGTGAAGTGAGGTGGAAGATGCCCTTGAGGAGGACCACGTGGTGGCGGTTGAAACCGGTTTGGGTCGCCATCACCCTGCGGGACACTGCAATCATTGCAGAGCTTCATGTGTACCTCGTTTTGATAACGTTTGCAATCAGTTCAGTGTGCTGCTTGATTCACTTTGTGCCTCAAGTGTTTTCACTATTTGCTGTTGCATGAGTTATTTCAGGCATCATCAGTTGAACCACTAGCAGATGGATAAATGGCACAATTTTTGTGCAGCAATAAAGAACTTTTGCTCTTTAAACAAGGAGAATGTGAAGGGAACTTCCGCGCTTGGCAGTTTGGTGATGGTCTCGGGGCGTTCTATGGACTTTCTCAAAAGAAGCGGAGGAAGGCAAGCCGCTCTCGACCTTGAGAAGGCAGTTATGGAAGAAGGAAGAGACATAATATTACACCCTTGGATGAAAAGGAAACTTGATGTGCGAAAACCAAGGTGTTTTCCCCTGGGGGAACTAAAACCACTGCATCATAAAGTCAAATGAAAAGGTTTGCACAACATGAGCTGGTGAAGATCCTGAAGACTTTATGAAGGTAACCCACCTGTCTGCTCCTATCTTCACTCGTCCTTGTCCTTCCCATTATCCTCTTGTTCACTCCCCTTCCGCCCCTTTTGCTGCCTTCTCCTCCTCCTCCACTCACTTTCCCCCTCCATCTCATCCTTATTCGCCTCGTCTTCCTCCTCCTCCTCCTCCATCCCCTTGTCCTCCTCGTCATCGTTCATTGTTCATCGACATAATGTGTATTGTTCTGGCCGAAGGTTAAAACGTGTGACAGAAGTGTGGATTTGAAACGCAATATGCTTCTCACAACGTCGTGAACATGTTTGTTCAGGAGTCCCCCTGAGGTAAAGCCAATCTGGCCAAGGCAGCCAAGGCAGTGGCGGGAACGAGGAGGATTAAGTTGGAGGAGGAGAATGAGGAAATGAAGAAAAGAACAAGGAAGAGGAGGACAAGGAGGTGGAAGAGGAGTAGAAGAAGGATGAGATAGAGGGGGAAAGGGAGAGGAGGAGGAGGAGGAGGAGGAGGAGGAGGAGGCAGCAAAAGGAGTGGAGGGGAATCAAGAAGAGGGTAATGGGAAGGAGGACAAGGAGGAGTGGAGAGAGGATGCTGCCTTAGACCATGAGTCCACGGCGCCAGATTTGCAGAAAGTTTTTGTTGCCACAAGCAAAACTCGGAGGGGCTGCATGGCATGGGCCGCCGCTGTTAAAAAAATCGGCGGCCCCCGAAGTGGTGGGGGTTTCATGCTGACGCCGCGGGCCGATGTCTGGTGCAGTGGTCTTTTAAGACCTTCACAACAAAGGCGAAAGTGTTGATTTCGAAAAAACAAAGTTTCTTCATTTGGGGGCAGCCTATGACCACTAGGTTGTTGAGCTTCCCCCCAAAATGCACGCAGGAAATGAGCTTGTGGACGTCCTAAAGTTTTTGCTCCCCACAAATAGATTGGAGCATCGTCTCAAAAAAAAAAAAAAAAAAAAGATTGGACCATCGTCCTAAAGTTTACCATCCTTATGAACAGTCGCTATCTTGTGGCAATGATGTGTCATACGAGGTGCACCTGAAACCTAACAGTGGGCACAGCATGTCCATTTCACAGCAAGGCTGGCCATGAAGAATGGAAACCAAAAATAGAACGAAGTGGGGAAAAAAGGGAGGAGGCTTCGAAGCAAAGCTATGAGAAGTACAATGCAGAAGACGATGAGCAGGAGGCGATGGAAGAGCAGAAAGAAGATGAGGAGAGGAAGGAGAAAGAGGAGGACAAGAGAAAATAAAATGGACGATAACAGGAAGAGGAGAAAAAGGAGGCAAGGGAGGTAAAGGAGGAGAGGGGAAAGAGGGAGGGAGGAGCAAGCTGGGAAAGTGGGAAAGAGGGAGGAGGACGGGAAGAGGAAAGGGGGGAAGGAGGGAGGAAGGAGCAGATGGAGAAGGACGAGGAGGCGAAGACGATGAAGACAAAAAATGAGAGATGAGGACAAAGAATAAGAAGACAAAAAATAACAACAGAAGAAGTGAAGAAGAGCAAAAGCAAGAAGCATATAGACAAAATGACAATGCCGGACAGCAGAGGACGGAGAGACCAGCCGGCAACAAGGTTGATCGGCCCTCTTTGAACTGCCAGCAACTCTGAGGCTCCTTTTCCCAGTGTACTATTTATTTTTATTTATTTTTTTCCGGCTAGATCCGTTTTTTATCTTCTTTTTCTTTCTTTCAGTCGGAGCCTACTGCCTGAGGTGTCTGTGTTCTGTTTTGACTGCCTCTAAATTATCAAACCGTCGGGGAAGGGCAGGTGTGGTGGCAGAAGTCAACACCATCAGTACCATAGTTGTTTTCACAGATTTTCTGTATTCCTTTTTTTTTTTTTTTCAAAGGCTACCACCAGTACCTTTCCCGCGTGGGAGAATAGGGAAAACTGGCAGTTTCCCAAGTGCCTGAATTTTCGGAGGTCAGGCCCGACGACGACTGCCGTTGATAAATCTGATTGGCGGCCATCGTTTCGTTTCGGCCGCTGCAAAGGTCGGACGCCTACCCGAGGCCCGCTATTTTCCCAGCGGGAAAGGTACTAATGGTTTAAGCCCAACCAATTCAATTACCTGTCAAATCTGGACAGGACAGCCTTTCAGGCCTTTTTTATTGTCATTATAGTATTACGGGGAACCCCGTAGCAGCCACATCCGTGCTCAAGCCTCCAACGAGGGAACATGCGGGAGCTGCACCCACCAGCAGGTGCGATACCTGCTACAGCAGGTGGGCGATACCGGCCAGGGGTCAGCCGGTAGCATCAGGACCGAGCTTCTTCGATGGGCCAGTCACTGTGCCTCCCCTCCGGTCCCCTCCCCCTACGAACATCAGCAGTCTCTGCTCAATGCCACTCGGGGGGACCAACGGCATATCTCTAGGTGGCGGGCACCAAGCTTACCCAGGAAGGTACATGAGGCCGATGGGGATTGAACCCAAGACCTCCTGAATGCCACTTCGAGCGAGGATGAAATCGACAAGGAGGATGGAGTCACCACCGGTGCTCTCGCCAAGTCCTCGACAACGCAGGCCAGGGATGACTCCGAGTTTCGGACTCTGGTATCTGGGGCAGTTGACAACGTAAACAAGGTGTGGAGATGCAAGTACTGCAACCAGAATAGAACCGGGACTGCCTCCCGCCTGAGGGATCATTTCGTGAAAGGTGCCTGCAATATCACACTTCTGAGAGGGATAATCAGTGGAGACGAGTTGCTACGGAGGGAGCAAGGAAGAGATGCCGCCATTGCAGAGCTTGGAGGTGCAGCTACCGGAGCTGGTGGTGAGCTTGATCTGTCTTCGAGCGAGGATGAAACCGACAAGGAGGATGGAGTCACCACTGGTGCTCTCGCCAAGTCCTCGACAACGCAGGCCAAGGATGACTCCGAGTTTCGGACTCTGACTCCAATGGCTGCTGGTTTTCCTCATATGCGGTGCAACATCATGACTAAACATGCAGCACAAGGGGTGAAGAAGCACTCCGAGGCTGTGAAAGTATCTGGGGCAGTTGACAAGAGAAACAAGGTGTGGAGATGCAAGTACTGCAACCCGAATGGAACCGGGACTGCCTCGCGCCTGAGGGATCATTTCCTGAAAGGTGCCTGCAATGGCACACTTCTGAGAGGGACAATCAATTGAGACGAGTTGCTACGGAGGGAGCGAGGAAGAGATGCTGCCATTGCAAAGCTTGAAGGTGCAGCTACCGGAGCTGGTGGTGAGCTTGATTTGTCTTCGAGCGAGGATGAGATCGACAAGGAGGATGGAGTCACCACCAGTGCTCTCGCCAAGTCCTCGACAACGCAGGCCAGGGATGACTTCGAGTTTCGGACTCTGACTCCAATGGCTGCTGGTTTCCCTCATATGCGGTGCAGCATTATGACTAAACATGCAGCACAAGGGGTGAAGAAGCACTTCGAGGCTGTGAAAGTATCTGGGGCAGTTAACAAGGGAAACAAGGTGTGGAGATGCAAGTACTGCAACCAGAATAGAACCGGGACTGCCTCCCGCCTGAGGGATCATTTCTTGAAAGGTGCCTGCAATGTCACACTTTTGAGAGGGACAATCAGTAAAGACGAGTTGCTACGGAGGGAGCAAGGAAGAGATGCCGCCATTGCAAAGCTTGGAGGTGCAGCTACCGGAGCTGGTGGTGAGCTTGATCTGTCTTCGAGTGAGGATGAAATCGACAAGGAGGATGGAGTCACCACTGGTGCTCTCACCAAGTCCTCGACAACGCAGGCCAGGCAAACAAAATCGTTGACAGCGCAACTATCATCACTGCGAATGAGCACACACAACGTGCAAGTGATGATTGGATGACAGCCGAGTGCGTGCCCTTCAACATGATGCGGAGCGGGTATTGGGATCGCATGGTGAAGGCACTAATGAATGCGCCGAAGTCCTTCCAGTACGCGAAATTCGACGATGTGCGAACGACAGGGGTGGCTGTCACGTAGAAGAGGGTGTCCGAGAGGATGGAGCAACTGCGCAAGGAATGGCCTGTCAGTGGTTGCATGTTGCAACTCGACGGGTGGACCGATCGGCGAGGAAGACCATTCATAAACGTGACGGTCTCCTTCCCCAAAGGCGTCGTGTTTTGGCGGGCTGTTTGTATGCAGCCGCCGAGAGAAGGGGGCGAAGGGATACTTCGACATTTTGTCCAAGGCTATTCGCAAAATCGGGGAGGAGACAGTGGTTGGGGTGGTGATGGACAATGCAGCGACCTGTGCAGCTGCAGGGCGGATGGTCAAGGTAGAGTTCAAACACATATTCTCAATATCGTGCACAACGCACAACATTGACCTGATGCTCAAGCAGTTTGGGAAGACAGGCTCGGTGGACGTCATTCTGAAGAAGTTAGCGGAGGTAGTAAAGTCCCGCACCTCGTCAATTCCCATGGAGCAATTCTCACAAGGCCCGGCGCGGCCCGATTCGCCACGAATTCCATAATGCTGGACAGCGTGCAGGACTTGTACCTGCCGTTGCGAACGTGTTTAACGGACAAGGACTGAAAGGATAGCATCGTGCTTCCAGGTAGCGACATTTGTTTGCTGCTGCAACGGAGACCATCCTCGACAATGATTTTTGGGCAGGAGTCGAGAAGGTGCAGAAGACGTCAGAGAAACTGCTTCAACTCTTGAGGTTGAGCGATGAAGTTGGACCGACGATCAGGAAGATCTACGGCGGCATGGACGAAGCTCTGGAGAGCTTACGCAGCGAGGAGTGCTTCACAAAAATGGAGAGGGAAGAGCTGGAGGAGATCATAATGCGGAGGTGGAACACTATGACTTCTCTGCCGCATTGCGCAGCAATGCTCCTTGATCCTCAGTTCAGGGACTCGAGCTTGGAAAAGGCCCCTAAGGTGATGGATGGTTTTTGGACGTGGGTGTACTCTTGGGCGAGACCGACTGCGTACAAGGAGTTGGACGAGGAGGTGAATTGTTGGATCGAAGGGATGGGCAAGTTCATAAACGAGAGGACACTTGCAGAGGCGGACAATGGCCAACTAGCGAGATGCTGGAGAAAGTGGTGCAGCGAGTTGCCGAACTTGCAACGTCAGGCAATCCTTTTGTTTGGACAGGGATTGTGTGCCTTCGGGTGTGAGCGGAATTGGAGTCTTTTTGAAAGGATCCACTCCAAACCGTGCAACGGCCTTGCCGTCACACAATTGAGCAGATTGGTATACAACAGATGGAACCAGCATATGTTGGACAATCTTGAGAAGAAGCCGGTTGAAAAGGAAGACCTGCCCGAACAGGGCACCCCGCCGAACACCGCAAAGCACACGTCAAACGTCCGCTGTTGAATTGTGTTCAACTCCATTGAATTCCATTGAACAATGGTCAGAGGCATCGATGAATTCAACAAACATTGAGTTAGAAATTCAACATGCGTCGCACGATGCCGCATGCCGCCGTTTGTCATCATCTCTGCTGCCGCTGCCGCTTCCTCTGCTGCGCGCGAGAGGAAGCATCTCTCTCCCTTTCACACACGAAAGGGAGCACCCCTCTCAATTGTGCGCGCGCGCGTGTGCAGGTCACACGTGTTCTCTCACTCGTTTCTCGCGTTGAGGCACATGGTCTCGCATGGCAAATGATGCGCCACGAAACGGTCAAATTTCTAACCATTTCACTTTGCCCCCCAGCATCCCACCCAGCCCTGGTAACCCCAAAAAGGCCCTACACACCTGCACACATCGACCCATACCGAAGTCGGGTTTTCTATTTCTTCCATAAAAAATAAAAATAAAAACAATTATAAGGGCACGAGGTCGTACCCAACATCCTTCTGCACCACCCCATGCCCTCAGAGCCCCCCTACCCCCCCCACCAGCCGCGTGATAGTCCAATTCGCGAACCCCGTTTTCCCCCGTCCAACGGGTGTTTAAACGGGGATTTGACGCAAATTCAACACACGTTGAATGGTTCAACGCAAAACCTGCAATAGGGCATTTTTCTGGGTTCCCGGCCAGGCTGTGTCTGGTTCGGAAAATCTGCAAGAGCACAAGGTCCAGTTTAGACAGCTGGCCAGAAAAGTTGTTTGCAGCTGGGGCTGGGTACAATTGTAGGTTCTATTGCGGATCGGATTTGGGTCAGATCCAATGCACAATCTACGCAAAGATTGCAAGCAGAGACTGGTTTCCGGGTCCACATCATAATATTGTACCGTGGCTCAAGGCATAGTTACACCAGACATAATATCGTACCATGGCTCTCAAGGCATAGTTACACCAGATTTTTTTGGACCTCCGCACAATTGGCGTGATTTCGGTTCTCTCTCTCTCTCTCTCTCTCTCTCTCTCTCGCGCGCGCGCGCTCGCTCGCTCTCTCATTTTCTTTCATCGTGATCCACATCGACATTCCATCCACTCCTGCGGATCAGCTCCCCACACCTGCCCATGCAGATCGAAGATTACCCTCCTTCCCTCTGTCTTTGAGTGCAAACACACGTTGCCTTTTTTGTGGATCGATGGCAGAGTCATGGTTTTCTTTCTCGGTTCTGCATAGCGAATAAGAGAGGAGGACCCCAGGCAAGGAGAGGGTAACCTCCTCCCTTATTCGCTATATAGAACTGGGAAAGAAAAGAACGACCGCGTTCCACTTATCATTATAAAATCCGTCCCCCACTCTTCCTATTTTTTCCTTTTTCTTCAAGAAATTCCACCCGTCTTCGTCATCCATCATCAACGGAGTCGTCATTACTCCCTGTAGCTCCTTTTTATTCCTTTTTAATTCCCGCTCGTCTGTTGTGACTACGGATTATGTGCAACAAGAATACAGTAACAATCGCAACTACTACTGCCCGTACGGGCCCATCGCAGCGAGGGACAAAAAGAATTATGCCCTGCCTCTGGATTTCTATTATCCGCATACCTCGTGATCCTTTTTTATTTGTGTATCCGTGCGTTTGTCTGTGTGTTGCATGTGTGCATGAGTATCTGTGTGCGTGTGTGTGTGTGTGTGTGTGTGTGTGTCACTCAGAGAGAGAGAGAGAGAGAGTTGGTGAAAGGTCCGGAACGAGAATATGAGGCGGAGGCAGCAGGATGGCACATTAAAAGGAAGCATATTTGGTGGAGGAAGTGGAGAAGATGAGGAGGAGGATGACAGGAAGGACGAAGTACCAAGCCAAATACAGCGAGGAGGTTTCGGCTGCCTTTAGTGTGTGTTGTAATGTTCGCTATATAACGCTCCACAAAAGAAGCATTAACGTGCCGGACTGTTGTCTAATCACGTGTGTGTGTGTGTGTGTGTGTGTATGCGTGTTGTCACGTTCGCTTTACACAACACAAAAAAGCACGACTGCGCCACGGGTGTGTGTTTCTGCTGCCATGTTCGCTAGACACCACTCCACAACTGATATCGACTCACAATGTCACCCAGAGTTAGCATACCGATGAGAAAAGTGGTAGAGTTTACTCACGAAATTTCTAGCAGAATGCCAATCCAAACCCCTGAAAAGAACGGCAGCAACTCTAAGAACTGATATCACACAGCCATTTAATCCACTCTACACAACCTTAGCCATGGATGATACCCAATGTGTGATGTCATATTCGCTATACACTCAAAAAAGGCACGACTGTGCCAGACTGTTTCGCCAGAGACTTTCACCGGCTCATCAGGAGGTTGAACCTGGACAGAGTCCGCCCAGGATGCATTTGAGCATTTGACTGATGGATAAGGACTCCCCTCGCTGCCCAGACTCATCAGGAGGTTGAACCAGGACGGAGTCTGTCCAGGATGCACTTGACTGATGGATAAGGACCCACCACATCGCCCAGAGTTGGCGATACCCACCCCTCAGAGAGAAAAGTGGTCGCCTTTACTCGCACCAATCCTGCAGTCCTAGCAGACTGCCGGTTCAAACCGCTAACAAGAAGAGCATTAAGACTGTGACACAGTCATAAAACCCACTCTACACACCCAATTAGCCATGGACACTCAATGTGTGTGTGTGTGTGTGTGGTGTGTGTGTGTGGTGCACGTGTGTGTGTGTTGTCATGTTCCCTAAACACAACTCCTCCAAAAAAAGCACGACTCTGCACGACTTTCGTCATCAGTCTTCCACCACTTGTGTGTGTGTGCGTGAATTCTACTCTATTTTATTTCTTTCTGTGCTCCCCCTCCCCCTGCAACTCTGGCTCTTGTACCTCCCGGACTCCACCCTATCCCCACCGCCCTCTTTGCTTATGCACATTGGAAAAAAGGACGAAGCTCAAGGAGGAAAAACAGTGGAACAAATACAAGATAACATGGTGGTGGTTTTACCGCTTTAGATTGTGTCCTTGTCATATCTTTAAGCACAGAGTTCTGCCCACTGACGTACATTAAGCTTTCCTTTACGCGGCCCTCGAAAATCAATTTCATGTCGTGTGGCCCGACCGACCACGGATCAGACATTCAACTGATCAGAGCAAATACTACGTTTGGTCTTTTAGCCAAAAAGCTATGCATGTCAAAAAAAAATAAAAATAAAAATAATAATAAAAAAAAAAAAATTGCTATGTATTGCTTTCGTTCATCAACCATATTCTAGTAAGCAAGACCGTTGCCCATTGCTTTCTTCTTTCTAATCTTCCTTTTTTTTTGTGGACAAGGCATCCTACGATTTCGGAGGAGGAGGACAACGAGGCGGGAGGACATGCGCTCCTACTTGTGTAGAGCTGGTAATAAGAAGAGGGCGTGAGGGTGTGTTAGCAAGCAGTTCTGCTCAACACCAAGTACGCAGACGCACCCAATATCTCTCACTCATTCGCACCTGAATATAAGCGCATATTAATAATAACAAATATTATGTTAATCAATCGCATGTCAAACACCAGAAGGCCCTGAATTCGGGACCCACCAAACCCTGTTTTTAAGCCCTTTTTTTTAACTTTTTTTTGCAGATTACCCAGCTTATGGACTGTCACCCTATAAATTTTCAGACTAATTTCAACCTTCTTTTTCTGTTTTTCTTTTCTTTTTCTTGTTTGATTGTGAGCAGGAGCACACACAATAAAGAGACAGAGAGACACAGACAGACACAGAGAGAGAGAGAGACACAGAGAGAGACACAGAGAGAGAGAGAGAGAGAGAGAGAGAGAGAGAGAGAGAGAGAGAGAGAGAGAGAGAGAGAGAGAGAGAGAGAGTGCTTCCTCCCCCGACACAGGTAACACATGTATACAAGCTATCTTTCCGGTCCAGTTGGGGAAGCCAGAATTGCACGAGGGAAGGAATCACATGCAATCGCCGATATGTGTGCGAGAGAGAGGGAGAAAGCTTCTTCCCCCCACAGAACACACCCTGATAACGAATGACGGGTCAGAATACGCGGAAAAGGAAAGGTGGAGCAAAACAACTGCCGCCTGCTATCCAGCAGTGCTCTTTGTGAGATATTCGCAATAAATAACGCTCATCACACACCACGCGTATGGCCACCCCGGTGGGAATGGAAAGGCAAAGCAAAACGACGGCCGCCCACTATCCAGTGGTTCTCCTTGTGAAATATTCACGCCGATCAACACTCATCGTACACCTCCCGTGTGGCCGCCTTCACCACAAAATCCGGCACGCTGTGAACAAACCGGTGCAAAACCAGCTCTGCACGCACCCCGCCCATCGATCCAGCCCATCCAGTTGCCCGCATCCATTTTCATGCCCTATTTCCACGTGCAGCGGCCCACTGTCCTCCCCCCGGCAGCACAGCCACCCACCTGCCCACCCACATTCTGGGAATTGCTCGCTTGATGAGACAATCAATCAATCAATATTTCAATTTTGTTATCATTTTAATGGAGAGGAGGAAGAGAACCCCTCCCTCAATACAACCAAATTAATAAAGAAAAACCAAAACAAAAGATTAAAAAAAAACATTGCGCGGAAACGTATTTGGTGGCTTGATGTTTGCCTTTCCTTCTTTCTCTTCTCGCTGTTGCCCTCTCTCTCTCTCTCTCTCTCTCTCTCTCTCTCTCTCTCTCTCTGTGTGTCTGTGTGTGTGTGTGTGTATGTGGCTCTCTCTCTCTGTGTTTGATCGTTGCCCTCTGTGTGTGTGTGTGTGTGTGTGTGTGTGTGTGTGTGTGGCTTGTTTTTCGGCTTTTGATTTTTCTTTTTGGCCATTCTCGGGTTTCTGATGCTTTCCCTTTTCTTCTCTCTCTCTCTCTCTCTCTCCCTCTTGTTTTCCGGCCTATAATTATTGTTTTGGGGCATTCTCGGGTTTCTGATGCTTTCGTATGTCTCACATTTGTCAGATGTTTGACAAGCGTTCTCGGCCTTCCCAGAGAATGTGGCGTAAGAAGACAGATTTGGCTGTGCTAGCAGTCAGATAGATTCTGGAGAGTACTAGTGTTATAGTATACCATCTGTGAGGGCATTTCCAGGCACGTGCAAAACGCCCTGCCTGGCTGACAGGGCACTGAGAAACACAAAAGAAAAGAAAAGGGTTTTGCCATAATAGTGGTTAGATACGTTCTTGAAGTACTAGTGCGAGAGTATGCCCTCAGCAAGGACCTTCCAAAACATCGTTGATCTCTATTTAGGTTTTTCATTTTTCGTTTTTTCCCCTGGCTTTTTTGTGCCATCTGCTGGCACACTTCAGTTTCGAGGTAGCCTTGCGCCGGTACCTCCCTCAAAGAGGACAACGACATGCACTGTACACTGCAGGCTTGGGAAGTCGCCAATTTTGATTCGACAATCTGGCTTCTGTTGGGGTGGTAGTTTGAAGTTTAAACCACCAGTACTTCCTCGAGTTGTGCCCGTTAACGCGCCACGATTTTAGGAAGCGTGCGGGCTACTACAGGAGCGGCCAAATTCATCCGACTAGAAACGTTTCTACTCTTTCTTTTTTTTTTCTGCGGCCGATAGCTGGGCCAAGTACTGGTGGTTTAAACCACCGTTACCTTTGACGTTTCAATCAATGCCGGGCGTCGAAATTTGAATTCAGAGACGGGGCGGCCGTCGATGGAGAATATCAGCGGACTCCCTGCGCCAAAATTTTCGGTGACAAGGGTACTGGTCCTCACTGCACTACACAATAAAATCCGTGAACAAAAGAAGAGCTTTTTTTTTTCTCCAAATTTTAATGTCCGTTAATTGTTTACCAGAGTTTCTTTTTTTTCCCCCCAAAATTTCAATGTCCATTAGTCCTTCACCATACGAGGCTGGGGTCCTCGACACTACGCCCGGATAGCAACATTACTGCAAGCATCATCCAGCTCGGCTTACAGACTGAAAGCCTGTGAGTCTTTCACTACAGACTCAAACACGGCTCAACGGCCACTGTGCTAAAGAAGCAGAGCTACCTCATGTGTCCAGATAATTGAACAAATGTGGGCTTGCAGTCGACCACGACAAAAACCGGTTTGTAATGTGATATCTGAAGTCCCCGAGTTTTAAGAGGGAATCAAACACATCGAGGGGAAAGAGAAGAAACGGGAGGGGGGCGGGGAGGAGAAGAAGGTGAAGTTATTAGCATGAACTACTCCGAGGGCTTGCTCTCTACGGATTGAAAGAGAATCGCGGGTAGTCCTGTGTCACCTCTCGGATTGATCAAGAATTTGGACTGCGAAATATCGCTTTCGAGCTGGTTAGCGTGTTAGGATTAACCCTGTGCTGAAAAGCGTGTTAGGGTTAACCCTGTGCTGAAAAACATGTGAAGAGACGTAGTGGACCCTCTCTCTCTCTCTCTCTCTCTCTCTCTCTCTCTCTCTCTCTCTCTGAGCTGGTTGGCACGTTAGGGTTAAGCCTGTGCAGAAAAACATGTGAAGAGATGTAGTGGACTCTCTCTCTCTCTCTCTCTCTCGCGCGCGCGCGCGCGCGTCTTATCCACCAGCACCACCTTTTTCTCCACATCCCCAGCGTGATTAATTGCTAGAAGGCTGCCTTAGATCAATACCATCGTCTTTCCCCGAATGGAACACACGGTTATTATAGCTGTACTTGGACAAACTTCTACTCTATATGCGTCAACAATGACCGTAGGTTTTATTCCGGTGAAGAGTCCTGTGGCTTGATTGATCGCTAGCAGCCTACCTACGGTTCCTAGGTCCCTCTCTTTCCTCGAATAGAACGTACATGTCATTGTCGCTGTATTCGAGGCAAACTTTAAAGTCTAGATACATCGTGAATGACCGTGCGTTCTATCCGGAGAATCAAGGCAAGGCACCATTTGAGTGAATTTTCTTTCTCCTGTCGAACACGATGAGCTTTCACAGAAAGAAGAGGTGAGGTGCAATGTTTATTTCTAAGTTCTTTTCCTTTTCATTGGTGTAATCATTGACACCCCGAAACTTGGAAACACACCGAATACATGACACGGGCGGTGGAGATGCATATAGAAGAAAGAGACCGAGGGGAAGAGAGAGGAGAGAGAGAGAGAGAGATCACAAGGAATTTCAGCGAAGGCCATTAGAGGAAGAGGGAGAGAGATGTTGGGACTTTGGTATGTAAATAGCGGTCAGGGGGGCATTCAACGAATTTTTAATTTTAGCAAGGTAGTTAAGAGGAGAGAAGAGGGGAGGGGAGGTGACGAGAGGACAGAGTCGTTGGGACACGTCTTCGTTCACTTACCACGAGCGCGAATCAGGGAAAAGAATAGGGAAAAGAATAGTTTTTTTTTTCTTTTTTACCACAAACACTCACAGGCCCCATTTTTTTCGGGGGGGCAGCAGTCCGGTTGCTCATCACCGGCAAGCTTTTGAAAAAAAGCACTCCTGAACGGTGTGTTTCAGCGCTTCAGCGAGAACCTGGGAACTGACGAGCGACGTAGATTTTGTTTTCCATGATCTCGGTTTTCCTTTTTTTTCAACAGTGAATTTGACACTAGGTCTTTTTTTTTTTTTTTGTAAACTTGAGAGTACATGTGACAACACTTGCGCGCGTGCGCACACACACACACACCCACACGCATACAAATACACATACAAACACACACACACACACACACACACACACACACACACACACACATACAAATACACACACACACACACACAACAACAACCTGCTTGATGTGGTGTCGGCCGATTTTCAACTAGGACAAAGTGTTCGCTTCCACCCGGATTCTGGGTTTCTCACCGTTGATCCTCGTAAATCAATCTACCACTGTCCTGAACGAAGAATCGGTGAAACCGGTAGACCGATTTTGCCAATTGTTTCGGGCTATAAGAATGCCGATCCGCCAACTAAGATACTACCGTCTCCACCCGAATAGAACGCCCGGTCATTATAGCCGTATCTGGTACAATTTCGGGTCCAGAGACAGCTATAATGACCGGGCGTTCTATTCGGGCGAAGACGGTAGTAGCTCAGTTGGTACACCCTTCAACTGTTGAAATACACACCTGAGTTCGATCTAGGATGGTAAAATACTACACAATACTGAATTACACCTAAGGCCGGTCAGTTCGATGATGATATCTCAAGGCCGTCACATTTTTCATAAGAACGACAAAAGAAAAAAAAGAAAAAAAAGAAAATGAAAATGAAAACGAAAATTAAAAAAAAAAAAAAAGAATGCGGATCCTTGAAATCAATCGTCGACTGTCGAGAAAGAAAAATGCGGATCCTTGTAATCAATCTACTGCTGTCCAGAACGAAGAACGCGATTCCTTGGAATGAATTAATCTACTGCTGTCAAGCACGAAGAACTCGAATCGTCGCAATACTTGAGCCATAGTCGTCATTCAGGGCATCGCTGCTGCTGAAATCGTCAATCAGGACATCGCTGCTGAGATCTGGGATTAGAAAGGGACAGTTGTTCGGTCTCATCTCCTCCCTCCTACCGTCTTTCCCTCGAATATAACCCACCCTCCTCATACTGACCGTATCGGACCGGCAACCTAGTTTGTATACACGCTCACCGGGGGGGTGCGTTGTTTTCGGGGGAAGACGGTAGGGTCTTGTGTGAGAGTGACGGTTCATCGATCGGATTTTTCATTCCGACGCACCCGCATCGTGCCTTCTGTCCCACCAACGGGAGACCGAGGGCATAGGACCGTACCCGACCGGAAACCTAGTTTGTATTCATTCATTGTCCGTCCGCCTTGTGTTCGAGGGAAGACGAACGCCTCCGATTATGGGTCGAAGAATGCGTCAGCCTCGGAGACCGCATCGTGCCTTCTGTCCCACCAACGGGAGACCGAGGGCATATGACTGTATTCGACCGGAAACCTAGTTTGTATTCATTCATTCATCGACCGGAAACCTAGTTTGTATTCATTCATTCATCGTCGGTCCACGTGCCCTGAGGGAAGACAAACGCCTCCGATTATAGGTCGAATGCGGCAGCCTCGGAAGTCTGCACACACTGCTGTTAACAGGTCCAGTCGGCATTTTTTTTTTTTTTTTTGGGAATCCCGGATGGAAATGTTGTCCTCCTTTTCTGACGTAATCATGTTCCAGAGCTCCCATTTTCTCTCGTTAGCTCGAGTTTTTTATTTTATGCGTGCCATCCTTGAAAGCGCAGGGGCCATGCTAATCTTTTTTTTTTTTTTGGGGGGGGGGGGGGGGCATGCTAATCTTCTTCTCTGTATCGTTCTAATCTTAACGGATGTCCCGACAGGGGAGCGGGTAATGGGGTTTAGTCTGCGTTTATCGCTTTTTTTGAATTCATGATGGGACAGTTTATCTGACTCTGACGCCACAGTCTGTCAGAGCTCCCATTTTCTTTTGTTAGTCGCAGGTTCTGTACTGGCCAAAAACAGCCGAATAGTTATATATAATCATCATGAATGTATGCAGGCTATATCCTTGGCGTATACAGTCATATAGTAATGATAGGGAAATGTATGTAGGCTGCTGTATCCTGGCCACAGACAGACATTTACATAACAGGCATGATCCTTCGGTGTCTAACCTACAAAACAGAATGCCGTCCGTCATGCGCGCTTGATTTCGGCCACATACAGTGCATCGAACAAAGGACGTGGAACGAGTCAGTTCTCCTCAAGGTCTTCGGCTAAGGGTCTCGCTCCACCGCTCACCACATGCACAAAAGACAAAAGTTGTAGCCGTGTATCTTTCCACATTCTCGCAGAAGATTCATTCCCGTTTCACACATTTGGTGAATGGCGGAGCGAGGCCGTACATGCAGTGCCCTACTTGAAAACGTGCTGGAAAGGATCCGCTTCGAGGAGGGGGGCGCGATAAAGGCAGGAAGAGATGAGGAGAAAGAAAGAATGGTGGAGGGAGATGTCAAGCAAAAAAGCCGTGAAAGGAACTAAGTCACAGGACTTTTACCAAAAGTAGCTGAGGAAGAGAAAAGACTGCAGGTAGCCAAGAAGCAAACCAACTAGCGGCACGAGTAGGGAGGGCGATGAAGCAGGGCCAAGGAGAAGGCAGGAAGACGTGAGATGAAGTGAAGGGAATGGTGAAGGGAGACGTCAAGTGAAAAAGCAGTGAAAGGAACAAAGTCACAGGACTTTAGCCAAAAGTAGCTGAGGGAGAGAAAAGAGTGCAGGTAGGCAAGAAGCAAACCAATTAAAGCTAAGAGTAGGGAGGGCGATAAAAAGGCACCAAGGAGAATCGATGTTGATGTAAGACAGGAGCTTGCCCAAAAGCAACTGAGGGAGAGAAAAGATTGCAGCTAGGAGAGAAGCAAACCAACTAACACCGCGAGAAGGCAGGGCGATGGTGAAAGACCGAGGATGATGGATGATGATGGATGACGATTGAAGACGACGGAAGCAGGAAAAATCGGCCGAAACGAAGATGCGACGAGAGCGAGGAGAGAATGGAAGCACCAAGAGGAGCAGAAGAGCGAAGAAAACCTAACGAAGCAAAGAAAAAAAGAACAAGGCACAGAGAGAGAGAGAGGTCGGAATAAGGGGGGGGGAATAGACTCTCTCTCTCTCTCTCTCTCTCTCTCTCTCTCTCTCTCTCTCTCACTCTCACTCTCTCTCTCTCTCTCTCTCTCTCTCTCTCTCTCTCTCTCTCTGTGTCTGACTGATAAAGGGAAGGAGACGGAAAGGAGGGCAATAGACGCTCTCCTCTCTCTCTCTCTCTCTCTCTCTCTGTGTGTGTGTGTGTGTGTGTGTGTGTGACTGATAGAGGAAAGGAGAGGAAGGAGAGGGAAAGAGGGCAGAAGGGAAGCAGGAAATAGAGCAGAGAAGAAGGCA